ATGTTTCTACAGTTATTCGTTTTTGAATTACAACAAAATAAGGAAATCGCTACATGAAAAATCGAGTGAATATCCAATGTTGTAAAAATTTGAATTTCAAACGCTCATAAAAATTTAATTCGACTTTCTTATAGACATTTTTTATTGATAAAGGTATATAATCTTATAAGGAATGTTGTTGTACATTTTCAAACCTTAGATTTAAAAAGAAAAATTTTTACGAATTCTTACGCAAAATAATTTGCTTATTTTCGTGATTTTTCCATATTTTGTCAATTTTTGAACTTTAAATGCTTATAAAAAAAAATTGTGACGAAGGATTTTTAATATTTTTCATCTGCCTTTGAAACAATATACTAGGAGCCTTCTATTAAATTTTCAAGCTTTCGCAACCAACAAATTAATTTTATTGATATTTTCACGTCAAAAACCAAATTCAATTTTGTGAAAATTCCCGTTTTTCCTTAATTTTTCTTTTGTTTTTCTTGGCGCTTATAACTGGGAATTTTAAATTTTGACCTCCCCAATATACAACGATATTCACTTTCGAATCGAAGAAGATACTGTAGTTGATAATCGAAGCATTATTTTGACTACTTATCGTGTACAAAGACACAAAAAAAAAAAAAAAAAAAAAAAAAAAATAAATATAAAAACACACATCATTGTAAAATCAATACATTCATCGTTCCATTCAGAATCTAAAACCCTGAAAAATAATGTGACCCTTCTGGTCCAACTTTATCTATATACTCTCGACAAAAACCCTTCGTAAGCTACGTGTAAAAATGGCCAAGTAAAGATGTGGTATCATAAATAAATGCTAAGTATATTGAATTTAATTAAACCTATTGTGTTTCAATAATGTATTTACTTGGCGAGGAATTATTTTTTAAAAGAAACAAAGTGTGATGAACAAAATAATTAAATGGCAAAGGACTTAAAATATCACTTATTATTATTTTAAAAATATTATTATTAATATTTATATACTATTATAAATAATTCCTTGCCAAGTAAATACATTATAGTAACATAATAAGTTTACTTAAATTCAATATACTTAGCATTTATTCATTTTTTTTACTTCGCCATTTTTACACGTAGTTTACGAAGGGTTTTTGTTGAGATATCACTAATTTGCAAATAATGATAATGTAGATACGTCGGTGACGACGGCTACCGTGATTCTGAATTTAATATAAATTTCCATTAAAAAGTTCACAATTTTTCATTTATAACTTAATTTCTAAACGTACGATTTTTACAAAAGCACATTCTACACAATATTTTTGATGTTTTGGAGTTTACTAGGTAGGTAATTGATGCATTAGAAAATTAGTTATGTCGTATAACAAATTTGCCCGTATTTTACACAGTTTAAATATAGGCAACTCTTGCTTCGATATTATAATATACACTGTTACTGTACGGTCGTACAGTTATTTTTTTTTTTTTACTTAGCTCGCGTCACGACCGTGAGGCTGGATAATGAAGATAATAATAAAAAACGCTCGGCCCTTATAGCCAATCGAAATAAATTATTATTAAGCTATTTGAGCTGAACTCGTATAAATAATATGTGGCAATTCTGGCCCAACAAAATAATAATAATAAATTATAGGCCCAACACTCAACAATATATAATATAGTAAATAATAATGAAAAAACTCACAGTTTGTGGAGCAAAGACTAGCTAGCTGGTCATGTGCTAAAATTAAAATACAATATGCCGTACGCTTAGTGCACACAAAATATAATAATAGGTACCGATCCTATGGATGTATAATGCAAAACAGCGATGCGCCACAATTTGAGTTAGCAATTAATACAATATAAAAAACCCCTTCTGGTGGTCACAATAATAAAACTAAAAACACAATAATACATTTTACTATTTGAGTATAGTAATAATAAAACTCACAGATAGCGGAGAACAGACTGGTCTTGGGTTTATAAGAAAAATTACACACAACGATAAAAAACACAATAATTTAACGATTTGTGCTCATGTGTTCATATAACTAGCGATTGCGCATATTACATTAATAATAATAATAATGATATCTAACCCTGGCGAATTGAGACTATTGCTATAATAATATTCACGAATATATTTAAAAAGAGCGGCGGTTCGCGGCCTCGACAATAGGTAATAATTTTAGTGGCGGTTCGCGCCCATAATAATAATACTTTTAGTGGCGATTTGCGTGCGCCCACGAAATTATATTATTATTATTAAAGACAGATAATAAACTTTATTATATTTAATTTCTCGCCTATGGCGAATACACGCCTAGTGCGTTTCACAACTAATCAATAAAAGCTCGCGGCGCGGACCTCGGATTAATGATTTGGGCTGGCATTTGTCGTATATTGTAGACAGTCGTCAAGATATTATTATTTAATATAATATATATATGTAATAGAGGTGGGAAAATTTTAGATTGTAAACTATTGACATAGGTCAGTGAAGCAATATGTGCTGAGGCAGCAATAAGATATTAATATAATATAACACCGCCGTAAGCGCAGGCTCGGGTAGTCCCGTTGTCGTTGAGTGATTCGGCGAGGACGTAGGTACGACGGTTGTAAGTGTGAAACGTCGATCGTAGTAAGGAGTAAGGGCTAGGCAATCAGAATTTGCTAAGTGTTTTATTTATGTTTGTTTTAATTTAATAAAAGTGTTGGGCCCGGGACACCGTACACTTAGTGGGCCCCCTTTCAACTTAAACTACAAAATACCTAATTGTATTATTACAATATATTAACGACTTTATATTATTATTGTATAATTTTTTACTGTACAAAACATATACATGTATATGCAGGTGTATCTTATGTAATTTTGCGAGGGGTTTTTTTCAACAATTATGGATCGATGATATGGAATTTCGTTGAAACAAAAAAAGATACGTGTTTTTTTATTTTTAACAGGCAATTTTCCAGTCAAACATTTTAAAAATTTTAGATTCTGAGTGGAACGATGAATGTATCGATTTTACAATATTATGTGTATTTTTTTTTTAATTTTTTTTTTGTGTCTGTGTACGATTAGTAGTCGAAATAATGCTTCGGTTTTCAACTTCAGTATCTTGTTCGATGGGAAAGTGATTCTAGTTGGTACTTTTGGCCTTTGGGAGTGGAAAAGTTTTCAAAAGCGCACGAAAAAACAAAATAAAAATTAAGGAAAACCAGGAATTTTTTACGCAAAATCTTGGTTTTTAGTGTAACTCTAAGACAAATGAACATATATACATGAAATTTTCACTGGTGGTTTATGTTTGCATTTTCTATACACGATAACATTTTCAAAATATTTTAATTTATTTTGAACTGTTTAGGGACGTTTTCAGTTTCCAATTTTATTAGTTTTTTTTTCTATGAACGTCAATATAACTTTATTTGTCGAGTAAAAATACTTGAAAATTTAATACAAAGCTCCTACAATAAATTGTTACATTGAAATTTGAAAAATATTAAAACTCTTGGTCACAGTTTTTTTTTATGAGCATTTAAAGTTCAAATCTTGACAAAACATGGTGTCGTATATTGTTGACAGTCGTCAAGATATTATTATTTAATATATATGTAGTAATAGAGGTGGGAACATTTTAAATTGTAAACTATTGACATAGGTCAGTGGACCCAGGCGCGGATCTAGAACATATTTTCGAGGGGGGCCATCTTAATTTCTGCCTAAGTCTGATAAAAACATTGTACGTACTATGTAAGCTAATAGGCAAATATTATTATTTAAACCCAGTTTATCAGTACAATAAAATATATAAAATAATTTGATAAGTTAAATAAATGGTTTAATTAATAATGATACGTAATAATACATATTATATAATAAATAATAATTAATAATAAAATATAACAAATATTAAAAAATGATCAGAGAACAAAATCCTTTCGTCTTTTAAATAATTAGATGAGTAATATCGTTTAGATAAGATTAGCTTTTTGACGGCGACCGGTAAAAACGGACACGGCCGAAACGCTATCGGCAAAACAATACATTTTATCGGCTGCCGAAAATAGATATAATAGAAAATCCACCAGTCAACGGGGGGGGGGAATGTCCCCTTGCCCCCCCCCCCCTTGGATCGGCGCCTGAGTGAAGCAATATGTGCTGAGGCAGCAATAAGATATTAGTATATTATTATAATATAACACCGCCGTACGCGCAGGCGCGGGTAGTCCCGTTGTCGCTGAGTGATTCAGCGTGGATGTAGGTACGACGGTTGTACGTGTGAAACGTCGATCGTATAGTACCTACGGGCTAGGCAATCCGAATTCGCTAAGTGTTTTATTTATGTTTATTTTATAAAGTGTTTCCGACCTAAAAACCCGAGTTGAGTATTATTTCAAAGTCTTCTTCGTTCTTACCTTTAATATCGGAACAGCTAGTGCTCAGACCCACACACCTATATTATAGTCAATGCGAGGTTTATTACAAACTGAACAGTGCTCCGGTTGTGGCGTCGTATAATAGTCATTCCAATTTAGGAAACGGACGAAGAACTGACAAAACGCATACAATCGTACGCCTCAAAGGTTAACAGTGCTAATCTGAATTTATTCTAGAGACAGTCATTATAGCCTATAGAGCGCACGAGGGTAAGGTATAAAGTTGGTTTACCGCGTATTATCCGATACGGGTGATACAACTCGTTCAATTTTAAATTTCCCGCCGTAATTGGATGCTAGTTTCGGAAACCATAACGAAAAATCGCCACATGGCGCGTTAGTATCGAGGGACATTTGTTGTGGAACTGAGAATGCATCGACTGATATCAATATAGGCAAGGAAAATTCGACATTTTGGTTTTTGGTACATTTTCATAATTATTAATATTGTGATTATTATGATATTAATTATTGTTAGACGTAATTGGTAGGTTCGTGCGTAACACGCTCACACGACTCGTGACATAAAATATATTCTTATAGTATTTACTTGTTGTTACAGAATTCATATTATACTTAATATTATGGATTCTGATTTGAGAGATTTAGATCTTTGTGGGATGCTTGGAATCAAACAGTCGGCTACTGAAAAAGTGGTAAGTCAATTTCTAATCACTCGTGACGTATTACTATTCATATTTGCTATTTCAATCAGATGAAAACGGCATATCGGAAGAAAGCACTACGATGGCATCCAAATAAAAATCCCGATAATCCCAATGCAGCTCAACTGTTCTTGCGGTTATCCAAAATATTAACTATTCTTACAGACACAGCAGCTCGAGTAAGATTTTTTGATTTAGCATTGTAAATTGTATTTATTTGTAAATGTTTTTTTCTTGTTTTTAGTTGGATTATGACAAGTCGGTAAATCTGCTGCAAAATTGCTCAAAAAAGGACTCGATTCGGGTAAAGCGAAATTAATAAATGATATTTTAAAAAGAACTAAACATGAAAGATCAGTACAACGAGATACAAATAAAAGCGATTTCAAAGTAGGTAATTTTTTTTTTTTTTTTAATTTTTGTTTTTAAATTAATTGTTTTGTGTAGTAAGAAATGATGCTTTTAAGAAAAGAAAGTGACCTCAGGCACCGAGAAACTGAAAAAGAAAAAAACGGTTCATTAATATTAAAATTAAAGTGGAAGAAAAACGGTGTCTATAATAAAGCTAACTTAACATCATTGTTTTCTAAGGTAATTTATAAACATTATATTTTAAACATATGTCTAATACATTATACAATATTATAGTACGGTGAACTATCATTTGTTGTGGTTCTGAAAAATTCTGTGGCTTTTGTGATGTACAAATCTAAGACTACTGCCGTAAGTGATTTTAAATTAAATTAAGATAACCTGCTAAACCTTTACAAGAAAATAGTAATTCAAACAATATAAATACAGAAGAACACTAGAAGAATTTGATTTGCATAGTTTATTATTAATATTTGTGGTAATTATGTCCATAATATGTAAATATGTATAAATAATTTTTTACTCCGCCTTAATTGACATTACCAAGTTATGAATGTATACCTGAAAAAAAAACCCCAACATATTATAGAAATGATTTCTGAAAAAAATTTCGAACACAAGAGCAAATAAATGTGAAATTGTGAATGTACGACTATAGAAATGTAGGTAAATATGATTATTTATACATATTATTAGATTACTTATTATTTTATGATCCGTTCAATTATTTATATTATATTAAAATATAATTTTTAACTTAAAAACAGCACGAGAAGTAATTTATATAAGATGCAACTGTATTGTATGTTGATTGATATGTTACAATTTTTATAATTAATATTTTACTTAAATATTAAGCACTTATAATAGATTACTTATAGTTATGGTACCTATTGAATATTTGATGCTTTATAATCATTTAAAACCAAATTTATATCCAAAAACTGTAATGATTGATTATGAAAAACCTACTATTAATGCACTTAAACAGAATTTGATGAAATTTTTTTAGAGGTCGAATCGTCCCTAGCGTGTTATATTTTTTTTATATTTGATACTATAATTTCAAAATCATGATTATAATTATATGTATATTATTTTAATGTACAAAATTGTGTTATCATAGTACTTACTACTTTGTATATATGTTATTTACCTACTTTATGATGATATCTAATAATATAATTTAATATTTAATAAGAATGTTTGATTGACATTTAAAATACCTATAACAATGTAAATATGTTTATTATAATGTAAAGGTAGTTCGTATTATTATGTAAATAATACATATGTGTGAATTAGTACTTTGAACATAATGTTAGTGGGTGTTTTTAATAATATAACTTCCTAACCTACCAAATACATTGGTATCATGACAAATATTATTTGAAAATTTATTCTGAATTAAATATTGAAATATGTTAACATGTGTTTATCATTAAATTATCAGAAATACGTTGTAGTATTTGCTACAAACAGTAATTGTTGAAATTGTTGAAGTAGCTACCTATACGTATAAACGTGCGCACTGGGTTGTCTATAAAAATAGTTGGATTGGCTGTATTTTATAGTTGCTATACGGATAGCTATACGATTAGTCAGATTTGCTTGTAAATTGTTAAGTTTTATATTTAAATTTTTTATATTAGTAAATAGTAACTGTTTAAAAAAAATTAAATTTATTGTCAATACGGTATTGAGGTGGTGGTGGTGTTTTGGAGGGTATACGACGTATACCCTATCACCAGTTTACTGATTTAGCGTATACCCTGTAAAATTACTAGAGATACGCAAGTATACGCGCGTATACCCACGTATACCTTCAAAAAACTTAAGTAAAATAAATAGTAATTGCTTCCAAAAAAATAATTTTATCTTTATTTTCAACGATGGAAAATTATCAATTTTTTTTATAATAATCGACTAATAACCATCATATCAATATCAAATTCATTTATTTACAGTTATACTCACGGCTATGGATACAATTATTTAAAATTATCAACGTTATGGACACAGTCCACAGATATTTTTATAATATTATCTGTAGTTATGGTTGACTTGAGGGACTGCCGATTGTTATATTCTGTGGTTTAACTATCGGAGGTGCTCCCTTCTGGCATTAAACCTTACGGAAGTCCGAATCATCGGCAACTCCATAATCAGCTGTCTCCATAATCCCAACTTCTGTTTAAATTTAAAATTGTAATAATAAGATATAAATAACCTTTTTTTGTTTTGTTTATGTCGTCTGTGCCCTGTGGTGTGCCTACGCTTGTTAAAAACCCAACTGAATTAATTTTGTTTTATGATCAGCCGTCAATATTGTAAGTCAGTTTTAGTATGATAAATTAATGGACCAACTTTAGTTAGACGTTTTTCGTCGGTTTATGTGTAACAATGTGTGTCTTGATTTCTTTCAAAAGAATTGCACTAATCGGCTATAGCGAGTCATTTACCTTCGTGTTATACTTATGTTTTAATCGTTTCTCCGTGTGTTTTCAGTGCTTTGAAATATTGAATAAACATACATATCAATCATGTCAGAGAGCGTAGAATTTCAAATCGAAGATCAGGAATTCCAATTGAAACCTGACCATGAACTTAGGTTTGAAGTTGAAAACAAGAATGAAACAGTTGTGTTAGAAGTAAGTACCTCCAATAGTCCTGCATATAAAATATGTTACTCATTAAATTGGTAGGTACATCAAGTCAGTTACATCTGATACAACATTTGAATGTGAAGATAGGTAGTAGGTAATGTAAATACAATTTTACGACAACAAGTACACAGCTCTATATATTTTTAATTTACAATTATGATATCTTCCATATTATTATGTCAGTATAGTAGTATGGTATATTATTATAATAATAATAGAATTAAAGGATTAATAATACCTAGTTGAAATAGTTTTCAAATAATCTCGGTATTGTTAATTAAGAATAATAGGTAATTAATAAATACACTTATAAATTTTTTTAATAATTAGATAGGTACATTTGAAAAGAATAAATATGAACTTATGCAATTATAATTGTTTAAAATGTATTTACAGTTGTATTTATTTCACGAAAAAAAAAATAAAAAAATACTGTTTAGAATCAAGTGATTTCTATTTTTAAACGAAGAGTGAGGGTCCTGAATGACTTATGTAAACATAAACATACCTACTTAACGTGTAATAAAATATGTAAAGTCACATAGGTATATTCTGTTAAAGGCTATAGACTAATAACCTATAAACATAATAATATTATGTAATATATTAATGGTGATTTTTTTATTTTTTTTTAGTTGAAAACTGGGCTGGCAGAAATTTTTGGGACAGAATTAGTAAAAAGTAAACCATATAAGTTTTATTTGGAGCAAAAATTGTGGTGTTTACATGGCAAGGGTGTTCATTAAAATTACGAGGAAAAAAAGGAATTAGTTATATATCCAAAGAGACCCCAATGGTAAGAATAATGAAATTTTGAAATTAATTTACTTAATGGAGATTACTTATTTCTACTATTTATTACTAATTTTAACTATATTGTGATGTTTATGCATAGTCTATCAATTGTTTTTAAAATATTAAAATCACATTCATTAATGTATATTTTTCTTCAAATTTACTAAATAGTTTAATTGCAATTAATTTAATTTATCTATTGGTAAATCTTTTTATCAAAATGGATATATTTCTGTTTAATATTCAATTTTAAGGGAATGTTGCAGACTATTTGTTTTCCATCTGACTTATGTAAACATACCAAATTTGCATTTAGTAGAACCCATCTTGTAAAGTTAGCTTAAATATTAAAGTAAATTAACATTATTTCAAAACATAAAGTTTAGAACATTATCTGTGGTTGTTTGTTTGATTTTTTAAGGTATTTAAATTTTGATAAATTAGTATACTAAAGAAAAGTTAAAATATTTAAAAAGCCAATACCCAAAAGAAATAATTTTTTTAAACTTAAATTAACTCTAATATTAAAGCTAACAACACAAGATTTGTTGTACTGAACGTACATTTCTATATTGCATCTAGATCGGACAGAGTAAACAAACACAATGTATCTTTCAAATATGTATTTTTAATTTTTAATTCTTCGATATTAAAAAAACTCATTCAAGTTTTTTAGTGTTCACAGATTAGATAATATAAAAACATAATTGTAAAATAAAATAAAAAAACAATTTTTGAATTAATTCTTGTATTTTAAACGCTTAACTAAACATCTAAAATAATGCAAAATATTTATAAACTTAAATGTAATAACACCTGATAAATCAATTCATTTTAGCTTCAGTTATTGCTTAATATCTATTGAGAGTAAAAAATAGCTCATATATTTTAATACTAATCAGCTGAAGGAACACAAATCAACTGAAAAAATAAATAAATTTGGTAGAGTTCAATACAATTATTAATAACTAATTATTTTTATAGTTATGAATGTCTGAATTATTATCTATTGGTTATTGTGTACATATTTTAACCGTGTTTAATGTTTTAGATGTCTTATTTAAATTGCCATGCGTCATTAGAACAACTGCGAGCAAAATCAGAAGAAGAAAAGGTAAGAAGTCCAATTACAATGGTGGTCGGGCCGACTGATGTGGGTAAATCTACTCTTTGTAGAATACTACTAAACTATAGTACAAGAATGAATGCTCTTGGTCGTAGATTTATGTCGACCTTAGCCCGGGTCAGGGACAAATATCAGTTCCAGGAACAATTGGTTTGTATGGATTTTAAATTAATCATAAGACAATAGTCCTAACGAGAATAATAATTTGTAGGAGCAGTCATGGTAGAAAGGCCAGCTGAAGTAGATGCAAGTTTCTCTCAAGCAGCTCCACTAGTCTATCATTTTGGACATACAAAAATTGGTATTAATTCAACTTTATACAACACTTTAATATCTCGTATGGCAGAAGTTATTCATCAACAAATGGATGAAAATCCTAGAAGTAATTTTTATCTATTATATATTATTTGAACTTAATTTATATCATTACATCTATTATACAGATGGCTAGACAACAAAAGAGGCTAAGTGACATAGCATATATTACTGGGTAGTAGGAGATTATTTCTATCTATTGGTGAACATTTTACTATTTTCTGATAATAATTTTAAGTGATATTGAATTTCATAGTTTAGGATTTATGTGAGACTTTTTGTGTAAAAAGAAATGATTTGACTCTTCTTGAATACCTTTAAACACATTTAGCCCCATTTGTCGTGTAGCCATCGATATAATTGGATAAAATATTTAAAAAAACATTAGGTCAGTATGAAATTAATTGAGTTTTAGTTTAATTATAATAATTTGTTCAGTATTACTTCCAATATTTTGTAAATATTTAATGAGT